CCAGCCCGGGGTGCCGACGTGGACTCGGGCGTTCCCTCGCTCCTGACGCATTGTTCCTCATTTACCCTCTAAGCCCTAAAAATCCTCTCAGTCAGGATTTGGGTGGAGTTGCCCCCGCGGGGCACGACCCTGTTGACGTTGCTAGCGGATGTTGCCTCCATTCTGGATCTGAGAAATTTTGTAAACACTGAAAGCTGAGCTGTACCGATGGGGGCCCGAAAGGGTTTTTTCGCTTTCAAATGGGTCCAGGAGTACAGTGAGAGGAGCACGTGTGATGGCTGAGAGCTTCGGAGCCAGAGGTTACCAGCTCTGTGACCTTGGGCAGTAACCTTTCCTTTCTTACGGAGAGGAGTGAATGAGGCAATGGATATAAGCCGTTTGCGCGGTGCCTGCTCAATTTTAGTTCTTGCTGTTGTCACAAGTGTGCAGGTAAGCCCGATAGTGTGACTCGGTGGTTGAGCGTGGACTCATGAACCAAGAGGTCACGGTTGAAATCCCCATCAGGGCACATGCCCAGGTTGCAGGTTCGATCCCCAATAGAGGGTGTGCAGGTGGCAGCCGATCAATGATTCTCATCTTTGATGTTTCTATCTCTCTATCTCTCTATCCCTCTCCCTCCTCTCTGAAATCAATAAAAAAAAATGTTTTTTTAAATGTGCAGGAAGATAGACATAGATAATATGAAGCATGTAAACCCACTTCTCGAATGATGACCACGACCCTCCTTGAAGGTAATCTACCTTCTGCTGGCCACTTCAACCTCCGTATTCCCGTGCCACCCTAACTGACTCCATCTGAACCACTACCTATCTCGGCTTCCTGATCTGCCTCTGGCCCCTTGGGCAGCATGAGTGGGAGAAGGCTTGGACCATGTGGGCGTTGGCTGGAATCTACCAGATAGTGACCTGCCTTCCTGTTCTCCACCAGAAAGGAGCACTTTTAGGGCAGTGGCTTGTTACTCATCATTGTATCCAAGAACCTGACAACATTCCTGGCATATAATGAGAAGGCAGATCCCTTGAACGAATGGAAGTTATCTGGAGCAGAGGCCAAATTGCTATCTATATAAGGCCCAACCATTTTTTCTCCAGCCCCAAAACTCTTCTTCCAGTGAGAGGGTTAAAATTATTTTATTTCTCAAGATCCCTCTTTTTTTTCATAATTTATTAAGGTAGAATTGATATGCAACACACTGTACATATTTAAAATATATGATTTTATGTTTTAACAGATGTATACACCTGTGGCAATAAAAACTAATCTATTTTTAACTATTATTATTTATGCAGGTGGCACTAGATGTAAAGGTAATACATACTCATTGTGGAAAATTTTTAAATGCACAAAGAATAAAATAAGAAGCAAACACATACTTTAATTCTACCATCCAGATATAAACATTGGTAAGATTGTACTGTATTTCCAAACAGGACTTTTTGGCTGTGGATGGACTTTTATTTACATGGATTAAATTATACTGAATATAAAGGTTTGCACCCTACATATTTCATATTCCCATTCCATTAGTAACTGTTTCCTTAAAACATGAAGTATTTAGATTCTCAGCTTTAGATAAAACATTGATGAATATCTCTACAAATCCTTTTCCACATATTTGATTATTTTCTTAGGGAATTACCAGAAGCAAATTTGGGTCAAAGGGTTTAAGTCTGTTTCCTTTTTTTACTATTTTCAAAATAGAAAAACCTTTACTGTTTTCTCAAATTAAAAGATACTATATCCTTGTTGTAAATTAACTGAAATTATATAGAAATGATAAATTAGGAACCTGTCTGTAATTCTCCCATTCTGCCTCCCCCCTACCCAACTTCAATCCCAACCTAACTACTGTGAAAGTTAAGCCTATGAGCAAGAGGTAACTTTTGGGGGGTTAACAAAAAAAAGTTCTAAAATTATATTGTAGTAATGATTACACAACTGTGTACATTTAAAAAATACTTCTAAAAATGTATGCATAGAAAAGAATCTGGTTAAATCTCTCTCTCTACATATATATCTTACTTTTTAGAAAAATATGTTTTTATTGATTTTTAGATAAAGAGGAAGGGAGAGGGAGAGAGAGAGAGAAACATAGAATGGCTGCCTCCTGCATGCCCCCTACTGGGTTTTGTCCTGGCCCAGAATGTAACCAGGGACCTCTTGGTCCATGGGATGACACTCAATTCACTGAGGCAGACCAGCTGGGCTATGCATATATTTTTAAATATAAAAATGGTGTCAAATATGAATCATGGATATCTTTCCATACCAGTACAAATAGATCTATCCAATCATCCTATATAATAAAAGGCTAATATGCAAATTGACCAAACGGTGGAACAACCAGTCGCTATGATGCACACTGACCACCAAGGGGTAGATCAGCCGTGGGCAAACTACGGCCTGCGGGCCGGATCCGGCCCGTTTGAAATGAATAAAACTAAAAAAAAAAAAAAAAAGACCGTACCCTTTTATGTAATGATGTTTACTTTGAATTTATATTAGTTCACACAAACACTCCATCCATGCTTTTGTTCCGGCCCTCCAGTCCAGTTTAAGAACCCATTGTGGCCCTCGAGTCAAAAAGTTTGCCCACCCCTGGGGTAGATGCTCAATGCAGGAGCTGCCCTCTGGTGATCAGTGCACTCCCACAGGGGGAATGCCACTCAGCCAGAAGCCCTGAGCTGGGCTCATGGCTGGTGAGCACAGCAGCGGTGGCAGGAGCCTCTCCCACCTCCACAGCTCCCCTGGGGGGAGCGGGCCTAAGTTGGCAGTCGAACATCCCCCGAGGGCTCCGGGACTGCGAGAGGGCAGAGGCCAGGTTGAAGGACCCCCGCGAGTGCACGAATTTCATGTACTGAGCCTCTAGTTTTTAACAAGTGCATGGAGTCCCAGGGTACAGCTCAACCACATTTTATTTAAACATTTCTCTATTGGTAGGCATTTAGGTAGTTTCCAATTTTTTGTTATCATAAACAACACTGTAGTGAGCATGCATATACAAGCATCTTTGTGTATTTGTCTGATTGTATTTTCTTAAGATAAAATACAAGAAGTGGAGTTACTGAGTCAAAGATCATATTCAGAATTTTTTTCCTGTATTGCCAAATTGGCGAGTAGAACGATTGTACTAATTTATACTCCTACTAGCAATATGTGAGAGTGCCAGCCTCACCACACCTCAATAGCACCAAGGTATTATCTCATCTTTTTAATCTTTGTCAAGCTGATAGTTCAAAATAACCTCTCATTTACAATTCTGATTATTAATGATGTAATACTTTTTCATATGTATATTGGCCACTTTATCTTATTTTATGAATTGCCTCATCATGTCAAATAATAATATCAAATGGCATTGTTAATATTGTGTAAATGAGGTGATCAAGTATAACGTACTTCGGTGAAATGATGAGAGAGTTAATAGGAGTTTATACATTTTTTCCATGAAGTTATAGCCACAGAAATTATTTAATAATACCAGTGAGATGTCATTTAGACAGATTCAGATTTTCCCAGTAATGACCTTGATAGCTAGATGTTTGTGTTATTTGTAAACCATAGTTTGGCTTCCTTGAATTTTTAAACCTTTGAAAGTGAAGTTTAACCAGTGGCCATGTAAAGTATTCATTTAATACACAATTTTTTGGCTCCACTCACCTTAAAAATAGTTTAAGACATTCTCACTAATAACTTGGTGAGGGGAGAACTATCTTCACAATTTGCCAGGTAACTGACCTTCACTGAAAATAATAAGGATATCATTTAAAATTAAAATTGAGCTCTGGCCTGGGTAGCTAAGTTGGTTGGAGTATACCTGATGGGCCAAGGTCAAGGGTTGATCACCGTCAGGGTACCTGTGGGAATCAACGAATGAGTGCATGAGTGAGTGGAGCAGCAAGTTGATGTTTCTCTCTTCCCCTCCCCTCTCCTCCTCTCCCCTCCCCTCCCCTCTCCTCTCCTTTTCCCTCTTCCTCCCTTCCTCCCTCCCTTCCTCCCTTCCTCCCTCTCTCTCTGAAAATCAATTTAAATTTTTTAATTAAAAATCAAATATGTATACCAGCACTGTGCTTGGTGGTTTACATGCATTATCTCAGTTAAACCTCATATCAACCCTATGAATAGCCCCCATAAAAGTAAGAAAAAATATCCCCCATAGAAGTAAGAAAAACTGAGATAGTTACTCAGAGATAATAATAGCACATTTGAACTGGAATCCAGATCTTGGTAAACCAAACTCCCTAGCTTTGAACAACTAAGATGATCTGTAATAGCTACCTCACAGAGGTAGCCCAATATCTTCCTATTCCATAAATTTGTGTTGAATAATGAATGAAAGTGAATGAACTTTATACCTATGGAAAGCAAATTTCACATCAATTCCTTTCCCTTCCTTATTTCTAATTTAGGCAGCAAATTTACTACTAAGTTCTTTAAATGCTGCTGTGTAGGTTACATGGAAGTAGCAAATTCCTTTGGTGTACAAGGACTGTGGTATAAATACATTTGTCTATCCTTGTGGAGTTACATTTTTAGAAAGAAAT